TCCGCACGGTCACGGTCACATCATAAACCCATGCGCGCGATATTCACACTATAACTATTTCATATATTTCTCTAACAGTTCGGCCATTTCTGACCTCACGATCGCCCTCGATTGTCTAACAACCACTCCACCTTAGCGAAATATATATATAGCAATATAATATTATAACAATATAATATTTCAATTACTTATTATTGTCCTTACACTTACTGTCTATTCTTACTTCGCTATCTTTGCACACTTACTATCTTTACACACTCACTATCCTTACATACTTACTATCTCCATTCACTTTACTCATCGTCCAACCTTATATTTGGTCCCTTTCCTACTTTGCTTCTCATGATACCCTAGACTTTGTCCTCTCTTGGTCATTCGGGACAACTGCCTGGTAATCATCTCATCTCTGTTTGCTCCTTGCACGTTGCCTTTTGGCTTTACCACTACTGTCTCCGAACTCTTTTCATTGCAGTCAATATTCCGCTTGGTCTCAATAATTCGGAATCACCATTATGGACCTTTTTACTGCTCCCTTCCGCAGTGCTTTCCCGTCAATAACCTTCTGATCTGATGCACCTTCCATTCCAACATTTTTTTCCAGAACCTCTTCTTGCAACACCTTTTTCTTATTTTCTAAATTATCTTTCTCCAACGTCTTTTTCTTCTTATCTAATATACCTACCACCAAAACATTTTCTTCCAATGCATCACTTGCATATTCTAATGCAATTTCCGCCAATGCACTCTTCCTTAATGCATTTTTCTCCGTCGCACAATCTTCTGGTGCACTTATCTCCGATGCACTTGCTCCTGATTCGCTTACTTCCTGTGAATTTTTCACCAACGCACTTCTCTCGGTGTACGCAGGCACTAAAGTAATCATTATAGTACTATCAGACGATGGTTTCGCCTCCACATCGCTACTACAGCTACAATCTTTCATCAAATGTCCTGACTGTCCACACTTGTAGCATGAACTTCTCGCGATTTTGGGTTTGTCGCACCTCGACGCTAAGCGCCCCATACCGCCAGAACTATAACATTTAACAGAACTCACACGCTCTAGTTTTGTTCTTTGGACTACTGCCGGTAATGGTTTTTGCTTCAACCGCGCCTCAATATTGCACGCTCAGCCGACATCAGCGTATTCATTACGCTCAAGAGCGTTTCCAAATCTTCAAACCGATTCATCTTGGGTTGGGCCTGAAGTGGCGGGTTATCGAAACCGTCTATCATATAGACTAGCAGGTACGACACTCCATGAAACCCAGATTATTTCCTAGCGACATCTTCTCCTGAAAGTATACACTAAACGGTTCCTGATTTTGCCAGCTTTGAGACTCAAATCTTTTCATCTGAGTCACCCGGTCTTTTTTATTCTTGAAGAATGCTGTTAGCGCCCTCTAAATCTCATCGTACGAATAGGTTGCATACTCTGCTTTGCTATCATACCATTGTCTCGCCCGTCCCGAAAGCTTCGATATTATTAGCACCGCCATCTTTTTCTTCGACACCTCGTATGCGTCGCATACCGTACTACACGTTCAAACCATGCGTCAACGCATTGCTCAGCCGATCCGTCGAAATTTGGTAACGTCATTAGCAATTCACTCCTCGAAATGCTCTCGCTTTCATCACTGGTTGTCGACCTAATAAGGTCGACTCTTAAGGCTTCGGGCACCAAGCTCTCAGCATCCACTCCGGTAGCCATCTAACAAAATCTTATTTTTTTGCAATTCTAAGTTTTTAACTACAAATATCGCACCTCTGCGACTCACCAACGTCAATAGCGTCAATAAAAAAGCACGCCTTGCTTTTGATATTTTCTCCTCTTTGTTTCTTATTTTAGTCAAACAAGTATTAACCTCACAAGTGCAAATAACACTTGCACTTGTACGATAGCATGGCACACAGCTTACTATCGCACCGCGTAATTATAAATCCGCCTGATTAATAAATACAGTCACTTACCTCAATTATTGAAATCGCCTAATTCAACAATTGCCAAACTTCCAAAACACACACTTGGGCCGATAGCTTCGCACACAGCTTCCTATCGCAACCCCGCAATTACTAATCCACATAATTAATAACACGTGCACCTTAAATGATTATTTTAATCGCCTATTTCAATAATCTACGCCAATATTTCACTCAAAATCCTCAAAGTTCCGATTCAATTCAAATAATCCTTGTAAAATCCCCCTTCTGATACTGTGGACTTACAAAATTTATATATATCTTATATATAAAAATGGAGCTCTTTTTCAAATGTCTAAGTAAAACTCGAAAACGGCTAAACCGATTTGGCCAGTCTTAGTCTTGAAAAATGTGTGCCAATCCAGAGAAAGTCCAAAAGGTGAGAAATTATTTCAAATCCGCGTAGAAACTTTACATTTTTAATTTGAAAATTTTTGGTAAACAACATTTAATTCAAAATGGCTTCCCACACAATATTATTCAAATGACAGATGAATACTGCTCAGTACTCATATGTCAAAACAAAGTTAAAACAGATTATGTGTTATTCTTTTAATTTTAAAATTTAATTATTTATCTATTTTTAAATGTTAATAAGAATGCTTATTTTGATTTTATATGGGGTTTTTATTTAAATCTCAAGTGTTTGCTCACTGCCTTTTTGTATTCTTTTATCAAGAGCTTGAAATAATACTATTCTTATTGATTAAGGCTTGCTTATGAAAGAATAAATAAATAATTTTGTTTCAAACGCTGTGCTGTGCAAGTACTTATTGGTTTAATGTGAATAATGTGTTACCAAAACATTTTATGAATTATATTATTATTGCATTTAGGTTATTTAAATTGAGATCCTAAATTTGGAATTCATCGAAGGAGACACCATAGACATTTACATCTAATCACTTATTGCAAGTTATAATAGACAGCGATATGAATAAGAAAATTGAATTATAACACAGATAGTAATTTTAGAAATCATATTCATAAAAATCTCAATTACTTACAAGATATTATTATTGCATTTAGGTTATTCAAATTGAGATTTTATATTTGGAATTCATCTAAGGGGACACCATAGACATTTCTGTCTAATCACTTATTGCAAGTTATAATAGACAGCGATATGAATAAGAAAATCGGATTGTAACACTAATAGTAATTTTAGAAATCATATTTATAAAAATCTCAATTACAAGATATCATTGCATTTAGATTATTCAAATTAAGATCCTAAATTTGGAATTTATTGAAGGGGACACCATAGACATTTCTGTCTAATCACTTATTGCAAGTTATAATAAACAGCGATATGAATAAGAAAATTAGATTATAACACAGATAGTAATTTTAGAAATCATATTCATAAAAATCTCAATTACAAGATATTATTATTGTATTTAGGTTATTCAAATTAAGATCCTAAATTAGGAATTCATCGAAAGGGACACCATAGACATTTCTGTCTAATCACTTATTGCAAGTTATAATACATAGCGATATGAATAAGAAAATTGGATTATAACACAGATTGTAATTTTAGAAATCATATTCATAAAAATCTCAATTACAAGATATTATTATTGCATTTAGGTTATTCAAATTGAGATCCTAAATTTGGAATTCATCGAAGGGGATACCATAGACATTTCTGTGTAATCACTTATTGCAGTTATAATAGACAGCGATATGAATAAGAAAATTGGATTATAACACAGATAGTAATTTTAGAAATCATATTCATAAAGATCTTCGGAAACTTCGAATATATACAGTACAATCTATTTACAATACAAATTTTTCATTACAATACTATAAGGAGTTTTGTAGTTATATGGTCCATGACATTTATATTTTTAGCATTTGACAAATGTCACAGTTCACAGAGAAATGGAAAGTATCAGCAGTACGAACTTGCATTATATTACATGATTTCATCATCCGAATAGGCTTTCTAATGCATAGAAAGAAGTTTTTCCAGCATTCCAATTTGCAATGAAAAAATTAAAATAGTTGAACATGTCCCACATGATAATAATAGAATTTTTACAGACTTTTTCTTATGTTGTTTAGATACTAATGCTGTTATTCATTGGGTCTTTTCCCAATTACTTCCCGAGCATACTATATAGTGGTCATGGTGATAACAAAGATACCCCTAATTGGGATACACAGTTGTAGAAAAGGCAAATCAAAATAAACACATTGAAATTTATCACAATATGTACTCATGTTAAAAACCTACATTAAGCAAATTCATAGAGAAGAAATGTCCATTTCATATAGCTGGAGTAAAACGTTAAAATGGCTGTACGAATTGGTCTTAGTTGCATAATTATATATTCATTAATATTTATAAAACATTTTCTAGATTATATAATTATTTTATTTAGATTATTTAAATTGGAAACCTAAATTTGGAATCGATCAAAGCCCAGATAGCATAAGACATGCCAGGGAATATCCCTCTTGTCCTCACAATCTCCTAATATCGCAACATCCTATGAATATCCGAATTGCATGCAACGGGACGTCTCAAACCCAAACGATTCGAGCAGGTATAACGCACCGTTCACGAGCTTGTCGCTCTCATACGCGCACGGCTTGAGACCTCTAAACGTATATGTTTGTCCCTTTCTCTTTCGTCGCGTCGAAATGAAGCGTCCTTTAAAGTTAGCGTCAACAACAGATAGACGCTATATGTCGAATTATCATAGTTTTTGAATAATTGAGTAATAATAGTGAAAATTTTATTTGTTCTATATAATTATATGAGCGTGTGTTATAAATAATTAATATTATCTATCAAAATACTCTAAAATTGAGTAATAATAGTGGAAATTTTATGTGTTCTATATAATTATATGTGCGTGTGTGTTACAAATATTGCAGCCGTGTTTGAAAGAGGATTGACAAAGAAGAGCATTGAAAGAGTTGGTTTTGAGGTTTGACTCGAGCCATACTCAAAAGTTAAATTAAATATTTTTTTAAATGCTTCAACTTGTGGAGGCTATTCTTCTGAGCAAAGATATCAAAACACAATTGGTAATCAAAAGTTTATATAGATTTATTTTTATTTGTTAACTTTATCATAAACTAAACAAACTTTCTCTTTAGATTCTGTATTTAGCCATCAGAGTCCAGCTATGAAAATCCATTTTTGATGATGGTTTGGCCAAAGAATTTTGCTAGGGACGAGGAAAGGGCAAAAATAAATTTTGTGATCTAGTGCCTTGCGATGTCATCACAGGTAATTTATATATCTTATACTAATGATGTGTTGTAAATTATGAATAAAACTAATATATAAATAATTCCAGGAATTGCTTTGAAAAATTTGCCGCATGAGACATAGTTTGCTGTTTCAGAGGCTGCAAAAAGCTGGCTGCGAGGTGCCAATAAATATTATACAAGGTATTTTTGTGAGATGTGTACTATATGTTTTTCCTATTTACAAAAAAAATCATGATTATTGACTGGTTAGTTGTATCAATGTTAGTGCAAAATTTGTGCTGTGTACACATTTTTAGATATGAAAAACCAAGTTTAATATTCACTCGTAATGACATCAAATTGTGTCGATATATTTGGAATTAGAGATTATTTTATAAATCTCTGTCTATTTTGACTGATGTATCGCTCTTAAAGAACTTACTCATGTATATATATATATATATATATATATATATATATATATATACACATACATATATACATATATATGCATTTATTCATTTGTTTTCTATTTCAGGAGAGAAAATCAACCATAAACTAGAATTGAATGCCGAATTAATTATATTTTTAATATTGTAAAATAAGTTATTTTGAATTGAAGTTGTATATATCAAATTTTGTTATAAAATTATCTCAGGATTTTCTTATTTTGTAATAAAAGTTTACTTTGTGAAATTGTGTTCTTTTATTTTATTTTTAATCCAAATTTATTTTTCATCTAAAAAGTGAAAAACAATTCCATAATTAAATCCTATTCATGTCCGGTTTATGTCTGGAATATTCCGCGCGGGATATCCTACAGAACGTCCCGTAGGTGCGACATATTAACATGTTTCGGATAAAGTCAGGATAAGCAGGATATCCGTAAGGCTGTAGCAGGGACAATAAATGTCCGCGCGTGGATATCCGGTGGACATTTTCCAGGATGTCTTGTGTTGTCTGGGAGGGGACATTTTGTTGAATAACTCATTCCCAGATATAACAGATCAATAATTAAATAAGAAGATTCGGTTAATAATATAACTTTGGAACACACACCTGTAAAAATGTCAATGCACATAATTACAAGTTCTCTGGAATAAAATATTTTGAAAATTAATTATAATGCCCGCATTCAATTAAGTGTATGGACAGTTCGAGTACTAGAACAAGTATAGCAGAAAAATGATTTACTACAATTTTGAAGACCTACAATTTTGAAACAATTCCTTTCAAAAGATATATCAAAATCCATGCATTTTAGACACAGTCAGATATCATTCATGTTTTATTAAATCACTCTACAAATTGAAAAAGATGAAGAACTTCAACAATCATTGGATAATGCAATGTAAAATATAATTCACTAATGGTTATTTTACACTAATTTTGAAGAATAAACTAGAAAAATTTTCTATGAATTTATCGAAGAATGGATAGTAATATATGAAGATCTGGGGTTAATAAGATCCACCACCAATATCTCAAAACCCAGTAAAGTTTAGCATTGTTCAACAACAATATTTGAGAGTAGGTGGGAAAAGATGTATAACCAGATATAACCTTGATTCTTATGACTTTGCGATCGGGAGATAAACGGTGTATCTTTGAAAATCCATAACGAAAGTATTTTCTTTTGTTGTTAGTTTTTTGGGTTGTGAGCACTGTGATTTAGTTCACGAGACCTTAATATATATTTTAACAATTTAATTGTTTTATTAAATGTAATGTTAATTTTTAGTGAGATTCAACAGTTTTCTTTATATAACCACTTTAAAAACTTACATCTGTGTGGGGCAAAAATGACCAACTGAACTTGACCACAGCTGAAGATTAAAAAAGACTTGGATTGAATTATACCATATTTTTATAGAAAGTGTGAACTTCCATTGTATTAACAAAGTATGGACAAACAAATATTGTTATTATGAATTATATAATTTATTATTATACAGGTAGATTTTGGAGTTTATTATGTTTATAATACCTTACCATTCAAACTATACATCCTTACACTCCTAAAATAAAGTATTCTTTTTTTTTATTCATTAGAAGTTGTTTTGAAATACCTAACTTTGCAAAACAACGTTTGCGGGGTCAGCTAGTATATATATATATATATATATATATATATATATATATGTTCTGTAATAACATGATCGTACGTGCTTTTAATAAAAATATGAATTTATTCTTCAATGTTAATTAAAGTCCAAGATCTTCGCATGAACGCGAAAGCACGCCATCCCGAATTTGTCACGTCCAATACAATATATAATGAGTCAAAATTATTTGTATAAACTAGTGAGTTTTAATGTCTAGTCTAGAGAGATATATCATAAGTGGAGATTATGTCTGATAATTGAAAGAAATAAATACAGTGTTTAATACTACAAGTGGATTTTATTGGAAACCAGAAGTTTGTCTCTTCCAGCAAATACCTTATTGAAAGGACTCATTATTCTGAAGAGAGCTATTATCAAACCAGTCAATCACACATTATTCCTACTGCTCGACCCAAGGCGCCAGGAAAGGGTTGGACGGACATTATTACCATATCGTATAAAGAATCTACTACAGTAACCACTAACCAGGACTGTGGATCTACCAACCATCGGATCTCCAACCCATACCTAAACCCTACCACCAACTACATTATACCATTTCATGGTGTCAAGCGGTGGGATTCCCTTGTAGTGAAGTGTTAGTTTTGTGAATTGTGATTGGTGAATTCTGGATCCGGTTTTCTTCGCACCCAGAGGCTGCAGAGTCATTAAACTAAAACGGAGTATCCAGCAAAAGCAGCAAGACCAGGACTAACACGAGGAATTAAATGCACTAAAGGTGGCAGCATTACCGAGATAAACTACGCAGATCGACGCAGACTTCTTGACTAAGGCTCACTCCCCAAGTAAGAAAAACCAATCCTTCAACATATCCAGACCAGAACATCATAGTCGTCAATTTTTTTTAAGATTTTATTTGTCAATTAGAATATAAATAATAATATTTTGTCAATTTGAATTTTTTTGAGTATTAGGATTTTGGTTGTACTTGGGTAACATTTCCGTAACAACGGGCAGTTCGATTATTATTTACACCACTATTATTTTGTTGACTTCATATAACCATCAAGGTTAAGTTCAAGCAAATATTGTTAACTAAGCATTTTTTTAACAAAAACAATTACGAGCATTGTCAGGTCCGAATTTCATAACAGAAATATTTCAAAGTAAAATAATTGTAAAGATTAGTAACAAAGTCATCAAGTAATAATATAAAAGACTCAGAAAGTAATATTGAAAAGTTAGTGACTCTAGTTAATGACTTTGAGTATCTTATCAAGAGTAAATTTACATCTGTTGATCTTTTATAACGTCGCGATTTTTAATGTGGCTTTAAATGCCAGTATAAAGGCGAAATGCCTAAAGGATTTAGTGTAGCCATTGTGCCACTTTTCAGGCGATAGTGCCAATCCTTTATTTCAGATAGCCTAATATTAAATTGTTCAAAAGAAACAATAGGTATCTGACAAATAAATAATTAATCAGGGCAGGAAAAACCCGAATGGAGACTCGTAAGGTTAGTGAAAACCGCGAGATCTTAAATATATTTGACGTAATTTTGATGACTTATAAGAGACTCACGAATCCGCGGGAACGAGTCAACAAAATCTTTCAAATAAATTTATTTCGTTATTGTCATTTTAGAACCAAAACACGCACGTTGATTTTGTCGATATTATTAAATATTGCATGAGAATAAATTCCATATAATAATGTTGAGTATAGAAATAATTTTAAAATATTTTAATCTTGAATATTACATTAAATGAACTTTGAAGTTTAGTGTGAAAATAATTGAACTTGAAAACGCAAATTTCAATAATAATTAAATTTAATCAACTGCCCACAACACAAAATATTACAGAAATAAAGGGGATAAATTTAAATTAATGTCAATAATAGTAATGTAACTATCCCCATAGAATAGAATCATAAAAATTGAAAAAAAAATAGGAAAATAGTAAAAGTCCATGTTTGAATTATTGATACAAAATGATTTCATTTTAAATTAAATTCAATTTATTGGCGTTAAATTGAACGTGCAATATTTCCTAAATTTTCTCTACAATTATATTAAAGTTTATTTTGAAAATTAATAAGCAATTCAGTAAGTTTGTTTTCAATTATAGTAATTTCGTAAATTGACAATATTAATATTTTTCCTAATTAAAATTTTTATAATTGTTCATACTAATTTCGATTATTTGCGTTAATAGCATAACAAGCTTTATCATATTTCTATTTTGAAATTTGAGTGCAGAAATATCACGTAACATTCGGATTCAAACCTTAGCAAGGCACGCAATACAAATTTGCTTATGATGTATTAACTTTGTTAATGTTATAAATCTTAATGTATTTTACAAAACTTTATTTTATTATTATTTAAAAAAAATTGAAAAGTATTAATTGTCGACATATTTTTATTCAATTAATATTCCATGAATTTGATATTTTAATTTTGATTTTGAATAATTTTATCGTAATTTATTTTGTTTCATTTGACATATTAATATTTTCATAGTTGTATTTTTATTTTTATTGATAATAATTATGAACAACTATGAATTTCGAGCGTTCAAAGTAGATAAAATAAAACCAATAAATTTCTTTGAAATTAATTTCTATCACCTTAATTATTTATTCACTTATAGAAAAAGTAATTTTGATGCATATTATCAATAATTCACATGGAAATAAAATACAAAAAATATAAATAATTTGTTTCAATTACTCTGAAATTGAATGGCCACTCATTTTTTATTAATACTGACATTGTAAATATAATAATTTCAAATTAATATTTTTATTGTACATTTTTATAGTACAAATAGAATGTTCAAAATAGAATTTGAAAATAAAAGTTATAAAATCAAGAGGGCCCAAGAATGTATTAATGTAGAAGTATGTGACAACACACAATTATTAGATTACAAAACAAATAATCACTATCTTCCATTTCTATCTAAATGTAATGCATTAGAATAGCGACAAGTGTGCAAGCTATTTTTTTAAATTTTCGAAGATTGATACATGATTCTCATACAGGTTCAGTTAGTGATAATCGCGCGCGCATTTTTAAAC